TCTTTAAACTCAAAACGACATCGTTTTTCAGTACTATAAAAGGAAAATTTTAGCCATTCTTCAGTAGAATTCTCTTCCTCCCTCTTTCTCTACTCCCCTTTTCTCTCTCTCTCTATCCCTCTCAAGAACACTGGTTGAAATTTAACCGAATTTTAAAAATTTTTGTCGGAATCTGGGTTGTTCATCGGAAGTTCATCAGAAGGTTGGTTGGTTTCTGGAAATGGTATGCCGAAAACTGGGTAACTTGTTGAAAAATTCAACCAGTGTCGAAAAGGTCGCCAAAAAATTCAAATATTGCCGAAAAAATCAACCAGAATCTAGAATTTCTAGAAATTCCTAGAAAAAACTTCACCAAAAATTCCCTAAAAAAATTACTAATGTCGTAACGGTTTTGTGTCCGCCCGACGAATTTGGAAACGAAATAAAAAATAACGGAGTCGCCACCAATCTTTTTTGGCTAGGTGCGATTGGCCACCTATTAAAACATACCTTTTTAATGAAATCTTAAAATTAATTAAAATTTATTAAAAAGATAATTTTACGGTCTGCGAAACAGTCTGAGTTCGGGAGTCGGTTACGCGTGAGGAAGGATTAGCACCCCCACAACGCCCGTTAAAAACGGTACCAATTAACAACGTGTTATCCTTTGATTTTAATACAAACAGTCTTATTTTCAATATTAAAAAAAATAATTTTCTTGATTTTTATTTATTAAAAATTATTCTCGAGAAAATAAATCAAAACCTTTTTATTGAAATAATTCTTAAAATGTTCCAGTACGTTGGTAACATTAAAAGAACTCTTTCTCACCTAGAGATTTCTTAAAGCATCTCTACTCGGAATACTTTTAGAATCTCATCTTTGGAGGCTCGAATTTATTTTTCGTAAGAAAATGTCATGTTAAAAAAATTTATTCTCGAGAAAAATAAATTAAAACCTTTTTATTGAAATAATTCTTAAAATGTTCCAGTACGTTGGTAACATTAAAAGAATTCTTTCTCACCTAGAGATTTCTTAAAGCATCTCTACTCGGAATACTTTTAGAATCTCATCTTTGGAGGTCTAAATTTACTTTTCGTAAGAAATTATGTCATGCATGCCATGCAAAATATTTTCATGTTTATGCACACATTTTATTCTCATTCAAAAATTTATTAATTATTTTATTAATTTTAATTAAAATTTTGAAGAAAAAAAGGAATTTAATCATATTGAAAATTTTCTATAAATATTCCAATACGCTGGTAATATTTTAAAAAAAATCTTCTCACCTAGAGATTTCTTAAAGCATCTCTACTCGGAATACTTTTAGAATCTCATCATTGGATTAAATTTTTTTCTTCCTATTTTATTACTTATATTTTTTATTATATTCATTAATTTTTATTTATTATTTTAAAAAAGAAAATCTTTACTGTATTGAAAATATTTTTATAAATACTCCAATACGCTGGTAGTACTTAAAAAAAATCTTCTCACCTAGAGATTTCGTAGGCATCACTACTCGGAATACCTTTGAATTCTCATCATCGGATAAAAATTTCCTCTTCTCTTATTTTATTAGTTATATTTTAATTTATTAATCAATTTTATTTATTATTTTTTTAAAAAAAGAAAATCTTTACTATATTGAAAATTTTTTTATAAATACTCCAATACGCTGGTAGTATTTTAAAAAAAATCTTCTCACCTAGAGATTTCGTAGGCATCACTACTCGGAATAACCTTTGAATCTCATCGTCGGATAAAAATTTCCTTTTCTTTCATTTTTTTACTACTTTAGTATTATTATTAAATTTATTTTTTATGTTATTGTTTTTAAAGTTTATTCTAAAAAAATAACATAAATTATATAAAAAATTATTTAACCACAATTTCATTAATTAGTCTAACAAATATAGATATTTTAATATGCATAAATATTAATAAAATAATACTTAAAAAATAAGAAAAATTCAAAAAAAAAAATTTTTTTTTACCTGAACCGGACCGGTCAACGGACCGGTCAACTCCTGGTTCGGTTCGGCGGTTCGGTTCGGTCTGGTTGGTTCGGTCCGGCGGTTCAGTTCGATCTGGTTGGTTTGGTCCGGCGGTTCGGTTCGGTCCAGTCAGACCGGTCAGAGATGATAAAGGCAGCGGGTCGCGGGTCGGGTGCGCGGACCCCGGGTCGGGTTGCGGGTTGACGCGCGGATCCTCCTTGGCTGAAACGGCGTCGTTTTGGGTCTTTATCTAAACGACGTCGTTTTGAGATTTTGCTTTACTATATATAGCTGAAGATTTTTTTTTTTGGTTCATTTGGCTTCTGTTTCAGAAAAAAAAGGGAGAGACGGAGAGAGAGAGCTCTGGGGGAGAGGTCGTCGGTCGGTTGCCGGAGCACCGTGCCGGCCGCCGTCTGGCTCGCCGTCGGCAGTCTTGGACGGTGGTTTCCGATGACCGGGAAAGGTGAAAATTCTTCTGGAAGTTCTCTTCGACGCGATCTTTCCAGATCCGGTGTCCTTTTTACCGGAAACAGCCCTGATCGACGTAGATCGGGGCTCAAAGTTTCGGTCTCTCTTTTTTTCTTTTTTTTTTTTTTCTTTGAATCTGCTGATCTCTCTCTTTTTTTTTTCAGGTGGCTTTCTGGCGCTGGGTTCCCCGTTCCAGGGGACTGTTGTTTTTTTTTTTTTTTTTTTGTGTTTTTGCAGAATTTTTTTTTTACAGAAGCTGCCTTCTTCTTTTCTTTTTTTTTCGTTCCCCCCTTTAGTCTAGTTTACAAGCTCTATTTATAGAGCTTGTTGGGATTCAAATCTCAGATTTTCTAGGATTCGAATCTCATTTTTCAACTGAAAAATCATACCTACCGTCCGTGATTGGTGGCTTGTCGGGAGGTTGATCGGGTAGTTGGTCGGACCAGTTCGGCGCCGTACCAACCCCTTGACTTTTGTTTTATTTCTGTTTCTTTTGTTTGTTTATTTTTTGTTTTTTTGTTTGTTTTGTTAAATATTATTATTATTAAAATAAAACAGTAGATCCGGACAAAACCGGTGTCTACAACTAAAATCCTTAAGATTGCTTTTGACCTTTCTAAACGCCTTTATGCTTTTCTTTTCTTCCTATGTTATCTTCCGTTGTCTTTGCGGTCTGTTTAAACATTTATTTATAGAGATTGATGAGAAGAGTTTCTGATCAATCCCAATTCCATCTGGATTGGGATTTCAAACTTTGAATCCAATTCCCACTCTACCGGGTCTCTAAATTCGACGACCAAATTCATTTCCAATTTTTACTATCTAATCCCAACGAAAATGATCAAGGAAAGAGTAAAAAAAAAATAATATAATAAATAATAAAATATATTAATAGATAACTAAAAATAGATAAATAAATAAATAAAAATTAATAGATAAATAAAATAATATAATAATGAAAATAATTAAATTAAATTAAATTAAATTAAAATTAAAAAAAAATGAGCCCATATTACCCATTTGGACCAGACCCATTGACCGGCTAGACCAATTAGATGCTACATGAGTTATTTTTTATTTTGTGTTTTTTTGTTGTTTGTTTGTGTTTCAATTTTTCAAAAATTTATTTTTTTATTAGATAAATTTTGTTGGAAAATGATATCAATTGATGTATTTACATGTCAACCCATTTGGCTTTTTTTTTTTTTTTTAACTTTTCACCTTTATTTTTCCAAATAGGTAAATTTTGGAGTAAAAACGATTGATAAGATGGCAAAAATTTTTTAACTAGGATAACTCATGGGTATCCACCCTAATTTTATTTAAAAAAGGCACTAACTTGAGAGAATTTCAAAAGGCATAAACAATAATAATTAAATGCTAATTAATATATTGGTTAAGAAAAAAAAAAAAACAGGGATTCTCAAGTTTGAACTTTGTATAGTTACTTTGAATGAATCTCATGTACTGATGATTGTAGAAGCAATTTTCACTTGACATATTATTAGTGAATACTAAAATATTTCACAATGCAAATACACCATATATAGTAATATTTTATTTTATAAAAATAGTTAAATTTTTTAATTATTTGTATTTCTATTTGATTTTTACACATTCATTGTGTGGGTGAAAAAGAAAAAATGTTTTGAAAACAACTGACGTTACCTAATAAAAACTTACTTGATGAGTTAAGTGTATAGTTTTTTTTTTTTTTTAATACATCTTAAACAAAGTAAAAATGTAAATGCCTACAGAGGTTGGTTGAGTAATAAGATTCGAATACTTCGTTTGTAAGATTTAGATTCGAATCTCACTACCAACAGTTTTCTTGACGGACGATATGTAAATCTAGTGTAAATCTTCTTTCAGGTCTACGGTCTGTTCTTATTTTGAAATAGGAAAGCTTTCCTTCACCATAAATTTTTAAATAAAAAAAAACTTAATATCTTTACTAACATATTTCTATTATTATTTCATTTTGACTTTTAAGTAACTTTACTAATTAAATTTAAATTACTTTGATTTGTAAAATAACTAACTCAGAAGTTTTAAGAATATTATAAATTACTTTTTTTTTAACAAAAAAAGATAGAGCCCTTACTATTTTGCAACTCTCTCGTGTAAAACGTGGAGTCATGGGGCCTTATAAAGTGTACAAGACAAAAAATTAAAAGAAAGAAACAGAAAAAGAAAAAGAAAGAATGTGAAAAGATAAATTAGTTTCACCAGTGCTTGTAAAAGGAGAGAAAAAAAAAAATAATAGAGGGCCCAAAATCAAAAGCTTGACTCATTTTATTTGTTGTGAAGACCAAGTCCATCCCAGGACTTTCCTCTTGAAGGCTCAGTCATAATGGCGAGTTGATTCCTATTTAAGAATTGCTTCGAGCAAACTTCGTTAACCATCCTGCAATTTCATTGATTTGCTTTCCCTCCACAGCCATGAACATGAGAATATTCCATTTTCTTTCGCTAGCTTTAGTGTTCATTCATTGTTTCATGGTTTGCTACGCCATGATTGTGAGGAACCTTACCACAGACCAACATGCTCTTCTCAAATTTAAGCACCAAATCATAGATCCTCACAACATCTTAGCCAACAACTGGACCATCAATACTCCTGTTTGCAATTGGGTTGGTGTCTCTTGCGCATCTAAGCATAGGAGAGTCAACACTTTGAATCTTACCAACATGAATCTTACAGGAACTGTCCCTCCACAATTGGGAAATCTCTCGTTTTTAGTATCTCTTGATTTGAGTCACAACAATTTCCAGGGCCATTTGCCGAGAGAGTTGGGGCAATTAAGTCGTCTGAAACTCATCGAATTAAGTTCCAATTTTCTTAGTGGGGAAATTCCTTCATGGTTTGGGAGATTAAATAAAGTTTTATACTTGAGTCTCCAGAACAATAATTTGACAGGTACAATCCCTCAATCACTAGCTAAAATGTCCAACTTGGAGATCTTGGATTTGAAGTACAATCTCGTTCAAGGACACATTCCACCCGAGATAAGTGATCTTCGAAATCTAAAGATACTTCGTCTGGCATTTAATCAACTTTCTGGCTCTGTACCTTCAGCTATTTATAACATTTCCTCCCTGCATATGATTTCTCTTGCATTCAATAGTCTATCTGGTAGCTTACCAGAAGATATATGTCGCCATTTTCCCAATCTTGAGGCACTTTACTTGACCTCAAATGAGTTTTTTGGTCAAATTCCATCTAGTATAGATGAATGCAGGTGTCTTCAAAATTTGTCATTAAGTATCAATAGATTCAGTGGCAACATTCCAAGGAGTATTGGAAATTTAACGAGGCTCAGAATGCTATACTTGGGTGGAAATAATTTGGAAGGTAAGCTTCTTTTTTTTTTTTTAATTTTCCTTTGATAATTTGATAAATTATTAAATTAGCTACTTTATTTATAATTAATTATTTTCCTATTAAATTAAAACATGACTAGTTTTATTTATTTTCTTATCAACATTGAAGTTTTTGTCAAAATAAACTTTATTTGATAATTTGAAATTACCGTAAAAGAATTACTTTTATAATTTGGAAAGTAAGTGCTAAAATTAATTTAATTATTGATATCATGTTAAAACTCCTAAATATTAACAGTGACCATGAAACTCATGTTATTTTCTTAGGTAAAATTTCTTGGCTGAAAATAATTTTTTGTATTTTTTTGAAAAATTAATTTAATTTTTGGAAATATTCAGTTTTTAAATTTAAAAAATAAATTTAACTCTTAACCATAAAAAAATATTGTAAATTAAATATTCTTTAGTTACATGGCATAAAAAGGTGAATCCTTTTGAATTTTGAGTTGAAATTTGTCGCATGACATGTTTCATTGATTTTTCATTGATGGTTGATGAAATATATGATTTTGAAACAATTTTAGAAGGTTATGGATATAAACTACATTTTAAAATTTGTGGATGACAATGAAATATTGCACAAAAGTTATATATAATTGGTATAGTTTGCTAAAAAATGAAAAGAAGGTAAAGGACAAATAGAAAAAATTCAACCAAATGAACTTAAGTTTCTTTTATGTTTTCCCCATTATGACTAAAAATTTTGGTATTTAATCTCTTTTGAGATAATGTTTAGAATGAGAATTTAATTATCTAATTTAATCAATAATCTCATAAAATTAGGAGAAAATGATTTCATAATGAATAGTGATGCGAAGCAAAAAAATGCCTCGTGCTGCTTGACCCAGCTTTTACAATTCGGTTTCTGTTATTTTCACAGGTGAGATCCCTTCTGAAATTGGAAATCTTTTGAGCTTGGAGATATTTGCTGCCCAAAATATGAGCCTTGTTGGTCCAATGCCAGCTTCCATCCTGAACCTTTCTTCCTTGAAAGAAATTTATCTCTATAACAATAGTATCTCTGACAGTATTCCCTCAAATATTGGTGTTTGTAGCAATCTTCAAAAGTTATAATTATCTTTTAATCGGTTCAATGGATTCATTCCAAGAAGTATAGGAAATTTAACCAAACTTGAGGAGATATATCTAGGTGATAATGATGTAGAAGGTAAGCTTTTGCATTTGATTATTTAGATTTCAATTGATTGATATTTATTACTATTTATATTAGAAAAAGAATAAAAAGAAATAACTAAAAAATAAAAATTAATAGAGTGACCAACACGGAAATAGTCATATTTTGGTTTTCTTTTATACTTTTCTCATTTTGACTCAAACTTTTGGTATTGAAAAAATTAATTATTCCTTTATATTTTAAACATTGAAGAAATTAGCAATTTTCTTGTGTAATTGAGTTTTAAATGAACTATTTTCTTCCTAAAACTTACATTTAAAATTTGAAATAAACATTTAATAGGCTGATAAATGTCATTATTAAATTAGTTAACCAAACTACTTTTTTATTTTTCCTTCTTTTATTTTTTTCTCTTTTTTGTTTTCTCCTTTTCTTTCTTTATATTTTAATATTTCCTTTTTTTCCATTTTTTTCAAATAAACAAAAATTTTGATAAAAATAATTTTTTGTACTTTTTGAAAACTAATTTATATATTTTTTCTTGGAAATAATCCATTTTTAAATTAAAAAAAAATTTAACTCTTAACCATAATAAATATTGTAAATTAAATATTTTTTAGTTACATAGCAAAAAGAAAAAGAATCATTTTGGTTTTTGAGTTGAAATTTCAGTCACATGGCATGTTTCATTGATTTTTCATTCATAGTTGATGAAATATGTGAATTTGAAACATTTTTAGAAGGTTATGGATATAAATTACGTTTTGTGTTTCAAAATGAAATATTATACAAAAGTTACGGATAATTGGTATATTTTACTCAAAAATGAACAGAGAGTAAAAGACAAATAAAAAAAAATAAACCATATGAACTTAAGTTTCTTTTATGTTTTCCCCATTATGACTCAAAATTTTGGTATTTAATCTCTTTTGAGATAATATTTAGAATGAGAATATAATTAACTAATTTAATCAATAATATCATAAAATTTGGAAAAAATGGTTTCATATCTAATTTAATTATCTACTTGACCGAGCTCTTACAACTTGGTTTTTGTTATTTTCACAGGTGAGATCCCTTCAGAAATTGGAAATCTTCTAAGCTTGGAGATATTTTCTGTCAGAAATATGAGGCTAATTGGTCCAATACCGGCTTCCATCTTTAACCTTACTTCTTTGAAAGAAATTTATCTCTATAGCAATAATCTCTCTGGTAGTATTCCAGATAATATATGTTACTCTCTTTTCAAACTTGAGGTGCTTCACATATCCCACAACGAATTTTCTGGTTACCTTCCATCAAATATTGGTGACTGCGGCAATCTTCGAAATTTATCATTATCTTTTAATCGATTCAATGGACACATTCCAAGAAGTATAGGAAATTTAACCAAACTTGAGGAGATATATCTAGGTGATAATGATATAGAAGGTAAGCTTTTGCATATGATTATTTAGATTTCAATTGATTGATATTTATTACTATTTATACTGAAAAAAAGAATAAAAAAAATAACTAAAAAATAAAAATTAATAGAATGGCCAACACGAAAATAGTCATATCTTGGTTTTCTTTTGTTCTTTTCTCATTTTGACTAAAACTTTTGGTATTGAAAAAATTAATTATTCCTTCATATTTTAAACATTGAAAAAATTAGGAATTTCTTGTGTAATTGACTTTTATTGCATTTTAAATAACCTCAATATTATTGGAATGTTTAGAAAGTGAATAGTTTTATAATAGTAAGTTGTTGTTTCTTTGTAGGTGAAATTCCATGGGAGATTGGGAATCTTGTTTCATTGGAGATATTATTTGCACCATTCATGCGTTTAAATGGGTTGATTCCACATGTCATCTTCAACATTTCTTCTTTGAAAAAAATTGAACTCTCGAACAATAGTCTATCAGGTAATTTTGTTATAAACATTTCATTGCTTTTTTATTTCAAATTGTTTACTTTAGTTTAAAAAAAGTTTAGTTTAGAATTATAAAAAAAATAATCATAAAATTATGAAAACTGTTAAAACAAATGAGGTGCCATTGAAAGGCTTGAGAAATGATTTTCTAAACCTTTTTATCTTCTTAAAATCAAATGCTGTTTCCAATTAAATTAGGGAAAGGCGAAACAAAGACTCAAAGGAATTTGAAAACCAAACCTAAAAATCGAAATTCCATCTTTTGGAAAATATTTTTAATTTTTTTGAAAACGTTTTATGATTGAATGATACCCCTAATTAGGATGTACACCAGTACCTAAGACTACAAGGTAGGCCAAGGTGGAAAATAGTTACGTACCCGACACTTACGATGCCAATATGGCTATTATTTATTATCCCATTGCCATTATATATGATAAAATTACTTGATTTGTTTTATAATGTAATAAAAAGTAATATCAACATACTTTGTTACTTCCATATTTATTTAATACCTATTTAATACCGACTTACTTAATTTATTGTTACATCTAACTTAAAGTAGTAATATAATATTTAGTATTTTTATATTTATTGATCTGCAAATATTTAAAATCTATATTGTGTAATAAAAAATGTAACAATGTATTTCATTAAGTCCACTCTTCTAGTACAAAAATTAAGGCTCATATGTTTACTTAGCCTATATTATTTTTTACTCTGCCCATTCTTTTAAGACAAATAAGTAAAGTTTATATGGTAATTGAAGACCAAACTTATGATTAATTATATTTAACAAAAATCAATTTCAAAAATATTAAAAATAAAAAAAAAACCATTGTTTTAAAACATAGTATTAATGATTTTTTTTAGTTGTACTCCATTCCTTAAAAAAAAAAAAAATCAACATTCAAAATTAAAAAAAAAAAAAAACATTCTTGACTTATCCAACCACGTGTCAATTTCTAATTCTTCCCCAACTACCATGCTTTTGTCGCAGGATTGTTTTAATATGATGTATAGATTTGTCTAAAGTTATCTGGCTTTTTATCGGGTGTATTTTAATTATAATTCTTTTTATTATAATTATTTTTTAATCATAATAAAATATTACGTAAAAGTTATTATTTATAAATATGGGTTACATGTAAAATTTTGATAAATTTTATATAATTTTAAATTATAATTAATTAATTATATTATAATAATTATGAATTATATACACTCTTTTTATTATTTGCAATAAAAATAAGTGCTACTTTTATTGTTCTTTTACGAAATGAAAAGCAATAATTGTATAATTTTTTTTTAAGCCATATTTTTGTTAGAGATCAAAAGACCATCATCAGTGAGATACAAGAATCTTACCAAAAAACATAATTATAAGCCATACCAGAAACAACAAAAAAACATCCAGCACAATTCCACCAACAAGGGACTTCCCCTAAAAAGAAGCAATCATCACAACCAAACAAAAAGGAAAATAAAAAACACTACCATGGTCGGTAAACAAATAATGAGAGCAAACACCACTATCCCATACAGAACAAAATCACCACCATTTCGTAAAAAAAATAATAATAAAAATAAAAACACCTTCTCTCTATCTACCCACGTTTGCCATGACATCAACTGGATGCACCAATTGATCTCCAAAGCATCACAATTTCAGAAAATATAGACAACAACTTTCATGGTCGATGATTCTTTTTGCTCCAGTTAACAGCCACCATAGAGCCATTTCCTATCTCAAAAGCATACAAATAGCCAAATGCTAAAATTCCCTATATTAACCTCACAACCACTATCATATCCTTCAAACACAACTTTAAATATACCTTTTGCCAAATTCCTTAACTGTAGTATTGAATATTGATAAAGCTTTTAAATAAGACCAAATTCATTAGAACCTTTACATCGACAAGGCCCTTTTGTATCAGTCCCGATTGAGCTTCTCCCAATCTTGTCTTTCTAGATCACAAATACCTTGAATAATGGAACCATCGTTTCATTTATAGATAAACCCAATAATTTACCAACTTCCCAAATCTTCTCAGCCTCTTCTAGGAAAGCTCTATTTCGAGAATGAATATCTTCATCCGATTAGTGCTCTTGAACAATGGAAACTAGAGGTGTCTTTATCTTGCGAGACTTGCGTTTGGATCTTGTCCAATATTTTGCCTTACCTTTTTATCCTTCTTTTACCTGCTCGAATAGTAACAAGGTGAAATTTTTCTTCAACGTTGAAAAGTTACTCATCTCATAAGCTCAATAGAAACTCCTGACGAGGTTCCAAAGATAATAACATGCTTTCCTTGAGTTCAAAAGTCAAAAGAACCATATTCTCACCCATGATAGTGACAGAACAATCATCGAAGTCCTCTGACAAGATTTGATCAATGGCATTTGTAGAATCAGGACATCTAACTATCCCACAGCATTCCGTTGTAATCCCACCAAATCTATATTTTTAGGAATGTATTCAAGGATGTCAACCGATTTTAAAACCTCTTCTTTTTGACCATCTGACACAATGTTATCCTTTAACTGAGTGGATTTGACAGACATATTAACCACCTCTGCATCAGATCGTCCATTTCCAAAGTCTTCTATGCATTTAACACCTTTTTCCACGTAGTGAGTGGTGAGTTTAGAACTAACATAAGACCTTTGATCATACCTTGCCATTTTAACATATAGAGTGGAATACCTTAGGTGCGAACTATTTAGAACTTTGATAGCCCTCAATGCATCCCGTAGATCAAGATAATGGACAAAACCAAATAAGACATTCTTGGCTTTCTTTTGATTTTTGGGACATAAAAATCAACCACCCTCCCACTTCTGACAAAACGTTGCTTAAGATTAAGGAGACTACAACCTGGAAAAATTCCATCAACAAACAGTGTAACAAAAATTTTTTCTCCCTAGGTAATGTTCTTGTGTGGTCTTCATAGCATCCAAGAAGAGCTTTTTGACTTACCTTTGCTTCACCCACTAAATCGGACTAAGGCAAGGCTTTTCATCCTCTAATAATTGTGTAATTAAAAGCATCATTTTAAAATCGTTTTCATTGGTTTCACATTTTTTGTCATCATATTACTAAATTTTGTATTGTAGTAGTAAAATGTATACAATATTACTCCAACAAACCTCAAATGAACCTCCTCTGGTAGAGCACTCTTAAGGTTCTATCAAACCTTAGGGAAGTAAGAGAATGATTTTCAAACTAAAGAGAGTGCATGTACTTTTAACAATCTTTTCATAGAATCTTTGTATTTTCTCTTATATTATGCATATAGTCTAAAATGAAAGAAATTTTATCATATCTCTTGAGTCTTTTTTCCTAAAATGGCATGGATAAAAATTCTATTTATTTCCAAAAATTTACACTTTCAGATTTTTCTTTTCTCAAACAAATTAATGTAAGTATACATTTATTTTTTCATTTTCTTCACTTTTATCTTATTTCTTTTTCTTTCGTGAACAATTTCATCATCCAAATTTTCTTTAATCTTTTTTATCATTAAAGCAATTGAGAAAAGTTAAAGAAAATAAAATTCTCACACAAATGGAAAACATTTTAAGCATATACTAGAAACCTTTTAATATTTTCTTTTCTCCCTTCCTTTCTTCTATCTTCTTTTTTTCTTTTACTTTTCTTTTTCCTCTTTTGTACTTTGTTATACGTAAGAATGGAGCCTTTTAGTCATTATAAATAACAAAAAAATTTATAAATTCTATATATATATATATATATATATTCCAGATCATCAAACAAGAAAAATTTGAGGTTGTTTCATATTTATAATTGTTTAATGTTTCTTCTTACTCACTAAGTGTAAGCATTGCATTCACTTCAGCTTGCATCATAGATTCATGAAAAATACAACAAAGCAAAGGAATTAATTTATTTCTTGTATGGAAAGATGCAAACTTGTTTTTTTTTTTCTTTTTAGGTAAATTACCATACATGAGCTCTGCTTCAAATCTTGAGGAGCTTTACTTATGGGGCAATAATCTTAGTGGAAATATTCCTGGCTCTATCTCCAATGTTTCTAATCTCAGAATCCTAGAATTACAAGAAAACTCATTCTTTGGCCTTATTCCAGATACACTTGGCAATTTGAGGTTCCTTGAAATATTGAAAATTTGGTCGAATCATTTGACCACCAAAACTTCAACTCATGAATGGAGCTTTCTCTATTCCTTGGAAAATTGCAAGTATCTAAGAAATTTACAGCTATCAGTTAAACCATTGAATGGCATTCTTCCAACTTCTATTTGAAATCTTTCCACATCACTTGAACAATTATGGGTCATTGATTGCAAAATTAGAGGCAGCATTCCCATGGAAATTGGTAGCTTAAGCAACGTTATATTGTTAGACCTTTCCTCTAATAGATTGAGTGGACCTATTCCAACAACAATAGGAAGGCTAAAAAATCTCCAACTTTTGAATCTTCATGGAAATAAGTTACAAGGCTCTATCCCACATGATCTTTGTGGTTTGAAGGAATTGTTCAAATTGTCATTGGGTGCTAATGAGCTTGATGGACCTTTACCAACATGTTTGAGTGATTTGACTTCTCTGAGATATCTATACTTGTTCTCCAACAAATTGCATTCGCAAATACCATTAACTTTTTGGAGCCTTAAAGATATCTTAGAAGTAGATTTATCATCAAACAATCTTAGTGGTTCTCTTCCACTTGACATTGGAAATTTGAAGGTACTTATCTCTTTGAATTTGTCAAAGAATTTATTATCAAGTGATATTCCGTCCACAATTGGAAGTCTCCATGATCTACAAGTTTTGATTCTTTCTAGAAATAGATTACAAGGCCCTATTCCAAAATCATTGGGTGACTTGATGAGTTTGAAAAGCTTGGATTTATCTTACAACAATCTCTCTGGAGTCATTCCCAAGTTTTTGGAAAAACTTTATGATCTCAATTATTTTAATGTGTCTTTCAATAGATTGGAAGGAGAAATACCAAGTGAAGGGCCCTTTTTGAACTTCACAGCCAAATCCTTCATGAAAAATTATGCACTATGTGGTTCACCTAGACTACAAGTCTCACCTTGCAAAAAAAAAATCCATCGAAAATTCAAGAAGACCACTCTACATGCTTTGAGGTATGTTTTACCAACATTTTCTTCAATAATAATAGTTGTAGCCGCCATAATTGTCTATAAAAATTGGCAGAGGGGGAATATGAAGTTGGCAATGGATAAAGATTTAATTCCTCTCAGAAAAAGGAGAAGAATTTCGTATAATCAATTATTGCAAGTGACTGGTGGATTTAGTGGGAATAACTTACTTGGGTTCAGGAAGTTTTGTGGCTCTGTATACAAAGAATACTTTCAGATGGAAGCGGAAGTCGGCATAAAGGCTTCAATTTGCAAATAGATGGAGCAGCTAAGAGTTTTGACGTTGAATGTGAAGTTGCTGAGCAATATCCTTCATCGCAATCTTGTCAAGGTCTTTACTTTGTTGTTCAACTATTGATTCACATCGCTTAGTGCTTGGAGGTTTCATGCCTAATGGAACCTTGAAGAAATGGTTATATGCTTACAATTATGTATTGGATATCCTACAAAGAGTCAACATAATGATAGATGTTGCATCGGCATTAGAATACCTCCATTTGGGACATCCGATTCCTATTATCCATTGTGACCTAAAACCAAGTAATGTCTTATTGGATGAGGACATGGTTGCACACGTGGGAGATTTTGGAACTGCCAAGCTATTGGGAGAGGGAGATTCCATCAAACAAACAATGACACTAGCTACTATTGGCTATGTGGCACCAGGTGATTTTTTCATTTTGTATTTTTTCTCTATTTCAAAATCAGTAGATATTAGTATTTTATCATTTTATTGATGATTAATGTTGCTTGAATGGCATAAGATCATTTTAATAATTCAATTATATTTAAATTACAGAATACGGATCGTCGGGAATTATTTCAATAAAGAGTGATGTCTATAGCTATGGTATTCTATTAATAGAAACTTTCACAAGAAAAAAGCCCACGGATGAAATTTTTGTTGGAGAAATGAGTATGAAGCATTGGGTGAAAAGGTCATTATCTAATGAAATAATTGGTTTAATAGATTCTAGTTTAGTGCAAGAAACAGATGAATATTTTGTCATTAAAGCAAATTGTGTATCATCTATTATGAGATTAGCTTTGGATTGTTCAGCTGAATTACCTGAAGATAGATTAGATATGAAGAATGTTGTATCCATGCTGAAGAATATCAAAAGAGAATATCTGAACAACATTGCGCAAGATTAATTAATATGGTAATGACTGCAATTATATATATAGTTTAAGCTTATAGTATATATTTATCTGATTTTCTTTTAAGAAGGTATTCCGTTAAGCTTTATATTTTCTTGCAGGTTATGGGTACTACTACCGTAATACGTATTTTCGTTCAGTAATCAAGGTACTTTCATCACTTTTGAATTTTTACGTATATCTTTATTTATTAACTTTGAAATCTTTATTAAAGTAATTTTTTCTTAATAGCATTTTAAATTTTACAGTAAAAACTAGAGTTTTAATTCCATTGAATCATTAAAGAGTTTAAATAATTATGAGATTCGCATAGCTGGTGAATTTCAATAAGTTCTATATTTAAGTAAGGAGCATGGTAGTTGTAAATATATTAAAAGGATTTTTTAGATTAATAAATAACCTTTTCACCTGGATGTGTGGTTATAGGAAGTTGGGCTTAATTTGTGTATTTATGTTTTCTTTTATTAAATTCATACTATATCTCAATACATATAATTAATTTATACATGTTATGTATGATTAGAAGTAATATATATATATATATATATATATAGATTATAATTCTATATAATTAACCAAAGCATAAATCATCATAAAGAGAGCCAATAAGTTAAATTCATTTTCATTTATTTACGGTATTTATTAATGTGATCATTAATTAGGAATACTTTTTCGTTACAACTCTTTTTTATCTCAATGGTAATTGTCATAACGTCTAGATCCGGGGATCTATCGCCAGACATTGACTTTAGGGAGTCGCCACCAATCTTTTTTTTTATCCAGGTGTGATTGGCCACCTAAGGAATCTGCCCTTTTAGGGAACACCTAAGCTTAAGGGTCCCTAAAAGAATAGGTTCGGGTCTGCTTAACCAGAACAGAGTTCGGGAGTTCGGTTACGTGTGAGGAAGGTTATAGCACCCTCACAACGCCCATCAAAAGATGGTACCAGCTTGAATTTGTGTTATCCAAAAGCCTTAAAATTTTACCAAGTAGTTAGTTGTTGAAAATTATTCTCCATTGACTCTAATACTTTTAGCAGAAAATTGAGAAAATTCCCTCACCTCAAGAGTATGCAAGAAAAACTACTGTTTCACTTGCAGAGGCTCCGTCGTCGGATTATTTAAAGAAAAATCAAGATCAACCAATTAATTAATTATCGAAAATTATTCTCAATTGACTCTAATACTTTTAGCAGAAAATTGAGAAAATTCCCTCACCTCAGGAGTATGCAAGAAAAACTACTGTTTCACTTGCAGATGCTCCGTCGTCGGATTAATTAAAGAAAAATCAAGATCAACCAATTAATTAATTATCGAAAATTATTCTCAATTGACTCTAATACTTTTAGCAGAAAATTGAGAAAATTCCCTCACCTCAGGAGTATGCAAGAAAAACTACTGTTTTTACTTGTAGAGGCTCCGTCGTCGGATTAATTAAAGAAAAAAGAAAAAAAAAATCAAGATCAAAATCAAAGTCAAATAAAAAAAAAAAAAAAAAAAAAAAAAAAAAAACCTGGAGCGGCTCGGATCGCGGCTCGGCTTGGTGCGGCTCGGCTCGGCTCGGCTCGGCTCGGAGGGGCTGAAACGCGCGGGTCAGAAAGCGGGTCGACGCTTCGGGTCGGGTCGGGTTCGGCAAAACGCGCGGATCCTCTTATTAACTTAAAGCCAAAACGACGTCGTTTTGGGGGGTATAAAAGGCACCTTCCTCCGTTTTTCAGCAGACCGTTCCTCCCCTCTCTCTCTCTTCTTCCCTTCTTCTCTGCCTTCTCTCTAGAATTTGAAGAACGCCGGTGCCGGATTCTGGAAATTTCGCCGGAAAATGGCCGGAAGTTGGCCGGATGGTCGCCGGTTTCTGGGATTCTCCGCCGGAAACTGGGTTGTCGCCGGAAACTTCCAAAGTTCCACCGGAATTGTGTCGGAAAATCCAAAAGTCGCCAGAATTTTCGCCGGAATCTGGAAATTTCCCAGAAATTTTCCAGAAAATTTTTTCGCCAAATTTTTCTAAAAATTTTTCTCACTGCCAGAACACTCCTAAACTTTTCCTTAGCTCTCTAAACACCCCTATTCTCTCAATCAGTAGCTTTTGCTTCTGTTTTTTTCTGTGTCTGAACTGTTCCAGGAGGTGCTTTATATAAGGATTGATCAGGAGTTTCTGATCAATCCCAATTCCTCTTTGGACGGGAATTCAATCTTTGAATCCCACTGGACTCTTCTGATGAATTCCCACTTCCAATGGGATTCTTCAGCCTTCAATCTCAGCCCTCAAAAATCAAATAAAAAAAAACTAGATAATTAGAAAAGAAAATAAAAATTAAAAATAATATCAGATAATTCGGGAAAAGAAGATAGAATTAACAAATGAAAAAAAAAATAATAACAAATAAAATAAGATAAACCCAAAAATATATTACACAAAAAAAATAATAATAATATATAACTGTATAAATAAAATACATATAAATCTAATCTGAATAAAAATAAATAAATAAATAAAGATATACATAATAATAATAATAATAATAATAATAATAATAATAGAATACATAAAATACAAAAGAAGAAAAAAATATACAGGATTGAAATGGGCCTTACCCATTTGGGTCAGGCCCAATTGATCTGGGCCCGGACCCAATTGGGTGTCTACAGCTGCCCCTCTTTGCACATTTTCTGTGAAACAGAAATTGCGCAAAGACGTAGACACCCAATCAAGACTCAACTCAACATTTTTATTTTTGATTTTTTTTTGTTTTTATTTTTTTGATTTTTTTGATTTTTTTGATTTTTTTGTTTTTGTTTTTTTGTTTTTTTTTTGTTTTTTTTTTGGCCGAAGCTCCTCTAAACAGAGACTCAACGACTTTTGAAAGTAAATTGCTCCTCTAAACAGAGGCAACGGACTTTGGAAAGTAAATTGCTCCTCTCAACAGAGGCACCACGACTTTGGAAAAATAAATTGCTCCTCTCAACAGAGGCACCACGACTTTGAAAAGTAAATTGCTCCTCTAAACAGAGGCACCACGACTTTGGAAAAATAAATTGCTCCTCTCAACAGAGGCACCACGACTTTGAAAAGTAAATTGCTCCTCTAAACAGAGGCAACGAACTTTGAAAAGTAAATTGCTCCTCTAAGCAGAGGTACCACGACTTTGAAAAGTAAATTGCTCCTCTAAACAGAGGCAACGAACTTTGAAAAGTAAATTGCTCCTCTAAACAGAGGTACCACGACTTTGAAAAGTAAATTGCTCCTCTAAACAGAGGCAACGAACTTTGAAAAGTAAATTGCTCCTCTAAACAGAGGTACCACGACTTTGGAAAAGTAAATTGCTCCTCTAAACAGAGGCAACGAACTTTGAAAAGTAAATTGCTCCTCTCAACAGAGGCAACGAACTTTGAAAAAATAAATTGCTCCTCTAAACAGAGGTACCACGACTTTGAAAAGTAAATTGCTCCTCTCAACAGAGGTACCACGACTTTGGAAAAATAAATTGCTCCTCTAAACAGAGGTACCACGACTTTGAAAAGTAAATTGCTCCTCTCAACAGAGGCAACGAACTTTGAAAAGTAAATTGCTCCTCTAAACAGAGGCACCACGACTTTGGAAAAATAAATTGCTCCTCTAAACAGAGGCACCACGACTTTTGAAAAGTAAATTGCTCCTCTAAACAGAGGCAACAAACTTGGAAAAGTAAATACTCCTAGACAATCATGTCCGGAGGAGTTGAAAGTTGTGTTTGAAGGGATTTCAAGAGATTATGCCCAAGGTCTTATAAATCAACCCTGATACCAAGAGACATCCTATTTCGAGGATTAGGAACTTACCTGACAAGTTTCTTCTCAAACTTGCAAAGTCTTTTTATATCTGTCTTTTTCATGTGGGATGTTGGAACACCCCTGCTTCTTGAATTTGTACACTATACTTTCCTGAAAGTAGTGTATGCTATGCAAATGCATATGAATTTCAATGCATGCTATGCAAATGTTGGTCAATTAATTCCTGTTCAATGTATGGTACTCAAGTTTCTCAAGCTCTTTTTTCTTTCTTGGGTGTCAAGCCCTTTGATTCCTCAAGGATCCAATTGCACTGCTCTTCTAAGATCGAACCAGTGTAGCTCTTAATTGTCTCTTCCACTCACATTCTTTCCTTGTTCTGTTTTTCAATACTTTGGAATAAACTTCATCAATCGATCATCCCTTGACCATCATTCAATGAATTTCTCAGCACTAGCAAATTTCAAAACAAATTTCATCCACCATCACTGGGTCCTTGTCTCAGCATCAACAATTCCAAAACAGACTTTGTCTACTGATTCAATCATATCTTGCAAGTCATATCAATCAATTCATCACTTTTCAAGATTTGCCCCATCATCTCTTTTAGGTTTCTACCATTTCTTCATCATCTTAGATTTCTTTTCAAATGAATGTAAGATTCTTTTAAGCACATATTCATTCATTCATTATCATTTCAAATTTTGACAAATACAATGCAATCAAGCATTTTCTCAATTCATTCTAAGGGTGTAACAATAAGAGGACAGAAAGTGAATTATGGTAAAGATAATCAATGGAGATCTATTTTGGTAGAAAATAAATGGGAAAAAAATAAATTGGATGTCATTGAGGTAAATGGTATGTCCAAATGATGAATATTCAGACAATTTTCAACATTAATCTAGGATTCTTTTTCAAAAGCTCATTCATTTACTGTTGAAGTCATCTTGGGCTTGGCGAACTCTGTCCCAGTCTTTAAGGGATCTTCAGATGTCTTTGATCTTTCATTCATGTGAGCCATTTGACCTGAATCTTTTTTTTTTTTTTTGGGTACCAAAATCACCCTTTCAGGTTTTCAATTCGGATCTCTTTTTTCATTTTTTCATTTTTTCATCATCTTTTTTTTTTCATTCTTCACCTATTATTGACATCCTTCATACATCAAACTTTTAAGGTAATGTAGCATGATTCCATTGCTTCATCATGAGCATGCCTTCGCTCAACATA